ATTTAAATATAATTATGTTATATATGATTATATATTGTTATATCTATATATAAATAAAGTTAATATAACATTCATAATTTCTCCTTTATTTGATAACTTTTGTGTTTATATTTTACATGGGCTACAAATCTTGGACACAAAGCTTTTAGATATTTGCACTTAAACACTCCATTTTTTCTAACATTGTTATTTTAAACTCATTTCTTCCTCAGATTTAAATTTTTTATTCCTTCCCTTAGGTACTTTAAAATTTCGTTCATTTTTATTATATCTAAGTAAAACACAATGAGGAAAGAAGCACAAAAGATGCCTTATTCCTCCTTCTTTGTGTAACTCAAAATAGCTGAATTTATTTATCTCCCCGTGTCGACATAGAGCTTAACTTTGAGTAGATTCGAAACATACACAAGGTTTTCAGAAATTTGTAAGTGACCAAGAACATGGAAGGATAATGAAAGTCATCTTGAGACCTTAAACACACTGTCTTTTACCACAAACATTTTGATTTACTAGCTTGTGATATAAACCATTGAAACAGCCGTCAGCCTCTCAGTTAGAATGCACCTCGCATATACGTGCATCTGCCTGAGTATTTTTTTTTTAATCACAAGAAGTTTAGCTATCATTTGTAAAATAGATTTCTCATACGATATGTTTGAATTCACCAAAGAATTTAAGTGATCTTTTTTAAAAAAAGTAGAACATTGCAGTTTTAAATGACTGTGTTGGAAGGATAAGAAATACTCCTTTAAAATTGAAGAGATATCCCGGTGCCATCCTTGGGCCTTATCATTTAATAGATGCCACAGTGCAGGAAGTAAAGCGAGCTAATTTCCCCATGTAAATGACCTCCTTTCAGAACTTGGTGGGCTGTGTGATCATTGAGAGGGTAAATAACCCCCACACCCAATTCACTCTGCACAGTTTTAATATGGGATTTTTTTTCAACTAAATATTTGAGGATTTTATTTAGCCAGAGACAATAATTTAAGCTTAGCAAATACCTTCGAAGAGTTAAATTTTCTCTTTCTCACCTTCAGTTTTGTACTAATCTCTAACCCTTGAATTGCTGATTTGCTTAAGGCAGAATATTCTCCCTACTTAAGGTTATAGATTTGTGCTCGACGTGTTTATGCAAGTGAAACTATTGCTACTCACAGCCCTAAAGACTGTCTTAACATTTATTTATTGGAACTGTTTCCTCCCCACCACAACAGTTTTTCCATTCTTTTCCATTATCAGCTGAAGATGAATCTATTTTTGAGATCTGTTCCCATAACACAAATGAGGTGATTTAACTTTGGCCAAGAAGTTAAGCATTTTCAAGAGGGAGATGCAGAAGTCAAAACTATTCAACTAAACCCCTCTCTGGGGACATAGCCTCTTTCTGATACACTAATAGGGTTCATTAGTTCCTCTGAATTTCTATGGGAGATCTGTGGGCTGAACTAAACCGGGAAACAGTCGCCTCCAAACTTTGAAAATACCAGGGGACAACAGTTGACACTTTCCACTATGTCATCCTGCTGACCCTTGGACTCTTCTTTCATCTTTTGTAAATGAATCACTCTGCTGTGGTTTTAATGAAGAAAAATCATGTTCTGGGGACTCCCAAGATCTGGGAAGGATTGAACCAAAATTTATATACAACTGGCTATCTTACAAACACAAAGGACAGTTTTTTTCCTGCATAATTCACTCTCTTAAATTTTTAAAAAAATTATGCTAAGGAGAGCAGGCTATTGTTTTTACAGAAATGTTTTCATTTAAAATCCTAAAATATTCATTTATTAATTTTATCAGAAGTATTAATCAACTTACCCTCAGTAATAATCGCCCCAGATTGTCAAACACGGCTTGAAGTCCCCTGATTATTTAAAAAATAGTTTCACTTCTTTTGAAGCCCCCGTTTTCCTTTCCTGGGTACTGTGATGGAAATTAAACGGAGCTGATATTTTCTTAGAATAATAAGCAGTTTTTAAAACTTTAAGTGGTTTTGTAACTATAGTGACTTACCTAACTATTACAGTTTAAACTGATGCTTCTAGAAACTGAATTTATTACTCTTAGAATTGTGCAGACTATTGTAAAGGCTTGAACATATGTTGGACAAAATGGTTATTTCTAGGGAGTTTGTTCAGATAAAAAAGTGTTTAAATAGTAATAAATATTCATAGAGAAATTTAGTTAAACTTGATACCCTTTTATAGTTTAATAGTAAGAACTGAGTGAACCTTGGAGCCTGGGAGAGTTGAGACTACTTGGCCCAACAACAGAGAAGGAAAATGGAGGTATGGCAGAAAATACACTATTTGAGTTGATGGAAATATGTGATTTTTGATTTAAGTGAATTTAATTGATTCTAGGAGATAGCCTCTGAGACTACATCTTAATCACTCCTGTAATAAGTTAGACATCATTAAATTGTCTTATGTCCATGTAATTGACTAATGGAAGCAAAGTAAAGACACATTTTGGGGGCTTAAGATATTCAAGGAAATATTTCATCATTTAAGCCAGTGATTTTAAGAGACTTAAAATGGCTTCATGTTTATTTTCTTTTACAATTTTTATAAGTTAAGAATAGCTGTATAAAATAGAAACCACAACTACATTTTATAACTGCATATATAAACGTATTTTTTTCTCTTCTCTAAATTTCTACCTGAGGTCAGTGGAAATTCACCTATGGTGCACAAATTCAAATGGAGATACAGTAAAACAGTGATACTAATGGGGCTTTTTTTTAACAAATAGGAAAAAAAATTCCTATTTTATAACAATGAAGAGTGGATCAATTTGACTTGCTTATTATTGGATCATTAATTAATTATATATTCAATTCATCTTTCCATCAAATACTTTCTACACAGTGCAATGTTAGAGGTGGGGGGAAAAGTGGAGAGAACATTGGCGTTGTGGGTTGGTAGGCAAAGAATCTAATAGAATTCAGCAACTTTTACACTCATGAGTCTGATTGGCATGGGGGTATGGTTTCTGGTAAAGAGTGGTAAGAATCACAGAGTCAGGCAGCCTCGTAAAGACCACTTGCCCCAAACCCCCATTTTACAGTCAAGGAAAGTGGGGCCTAAAAGCATCATATGTGCAAGGTTACATAGTTCATTGATAACGTGCTGGTTAGTTCCCAAAGCCCAGTCTCCTTATGTGTAAATTATGTTCAAGCATTTCGAAAGAGGGAATATAGAGGAGTCTGCTTCTAACCCATCTTCCTTTTTAAGTCTTTTAATAAGTGCATTTGTCTCATCAAATACTTCCACTTCAAAAGCTTTTAAAAAACTGAAAATAATGAGGCATCATTTCCTAGCAGTTATTCCTGGTTTTAGGGAATCCACTACTTAGTGTCATGGACGGTGGTCATGTGAATTTATTAAACTGCAGATCTGGACATTTGAAGGCAGATAATGGCCAGAACTCCAAAGAAGTAAAATAGCTCTACTGGACTGCACGTGAACAGGGAGCAGCACCAGAATCTGACCTAAGGGAACCTAGCCCAGGGATTTGTGCAGGGAAGAGGCAGCACTGCGGTAGCATCCTCCTACATATGACAATGGAGAGGTGCACCAGTCCTTCTAAAGAGCAGTTTCATAAAATCTGAAACCCTAATGGAGGGACAACCACTCCAGTCTGTTTATGGGCAACAATTAACTTTTTGTATTTGCATCTGTATACATACTCTGTAACGTATAAAGAGCTTCATCTATATGTTCTCACAACATATAGGATTCTCATAGAATTTTTTTCTGTTTCTGAGAATCTAAACAAAACCAAACATGACAATTTAAGAAGAAATCAACTTGATTTTCTCCTTTAGCAGCCACCACTTCTTTGAGTAAGGTATTGAACAAGTTAAGCCTCGACATTTAGAATTATAGCTCATCTAGTCTTTGCAAATATTATGAGTAGAAAACAGAAAATGCCTCGTTGGTATCCCTGGTTCCTCAGACAACCCAATTAGGGTCTTGGGACCACAAACTCATTTTCCTTATATGAATGATATTTCTGCAACAGTACCACCAATTATATGTATCAAAGCTCTTCTACTAAATGCATATCCTCAAAGTGAACTGCGTGCATTGTAACATTGCGTGGTTTGTTGATTTATGATTTTTCTTAATAAACATATTTCAAATTTTTGGAAGAATTCCACCAAAGAAGGGAAAAAAGAAATTCAATTACCATTTTAGTTTTGTAAAAATACTATTTTGGAGGGGATAGCAGATTGAAAATTAGAATTTCCAAAGTTTTAAACCCAGGGGGAAAGAATTTGCTAGAATTTAAAAGGACTGCATACGGTACTTACACTGCACTGCCAGGGACCCGGAGAGTTGATATCCTGAGTCCTCTTGATGAGCAATGAAGGTTGTTTCATTAAGTACAGAGACTTCATTCTTAAGTTGAAAACCGTGGGCAGAAACAGAAGCTGGGCTAATTTTTCCAGTGCTAATTCTAGAATCTCGGTCACTGAAAACTAAAGGTATTCTCTTTGAGAAAGCATATTGTTTTTACTCACAGCTAAAACATTAAAATATCTTAGCTAATTGGTGGGGTGAGGTTAGATTTCTTTTTTGAATTATCAGATTGAGGTGTCCAAGAGAGAGAGCATGGATGGCTTGTTCAGAAGACCTTGCTAAGGTACTCAACTCCCAGTGTCAAAAAATGATATTCATGTACTATCTTCATTGTAAACACTTCTTTGCAAACCCTAGTCTTGGGATAGGAAGAAAATAACAACAGCTACAATCACTAAAACTGGTTTGTAATGATTCTCTCTGTTGAAATTGAGACTAAATTTGCAATATGCCACTCTGGAACTGATTACCTTCTCAATTCTGTCAATAGCAGAGAACATGGTCTCATCAACTCATCGTGGTTTAGTTCATGCCTTCCCCTGACAGTGTGACAGAGAAGCCAAAGGAACAGCTCTAGGGAGGGGCAGAGAAGGAAGTTCATTTTTCAGAATCCTCCCTCCTCTTCTCGTAATGCACAAATGGGTGAGTACAATAAATCTCTGTTTCCTCATACAAATACTATGGATGGCTGGGGGCAGTTGATAGAACCCCCTTTTGGTGTCCAGTAGCTCATTCTCATTCACTCAGAATGAGGGAGAATTGGCTGTCAGTTATAAGTGTGCACAATGTATATCTTTAGAGAGTAGAAAGAGGTCTATACATAATAAGATTTGCTTAAAGTGATAGAGTAGAAAATAATTTCCAACATAGCAAACACTCTTCTCAGTAAAGTACTATATAGATATTTGGCATTATTTCCATTTATATCATTGCCCTTTCCTCTTTTTTTTCTTTTTAATCACCCCCTATTTTTTCCTGAATAGTTCATTGGAAATATAGTAAACGATTTTTTTCTGTAGAGAGACATGTACATATGAGATTTTCATAATGATGTCTCAAGGAAAGAAAATGTGTATTTTAAAAGTACAGAGGATGGATGCTTTCAAAAAATATAGTCATTCTTCTCACTACAGCAAAGAGACATAAGCAGAGAAGATCTGTTATTCTCAAATTAAAGACTATTAAACTAAGATATATGGAAATATAACATGACTTGTTATGTTTGTTGGACCAGAAATTGCAGAACCACGAAGAATCTGTATCTGTCTATAGCGACATACTCTTTATCCTAATAATAACACCTCCTACAATTTAAGGCCCACTTTATCTCACTTTAAGATAGCGTGGGCCTGTAGAAACAGAAAATGAACATCACGCTTTTTAATAACTAGAATTTGTATATTGTGGTTCACGTTTGTTACTTTAATTTCAGGAATTTGGCAGCAGACGCATGCAGAAAAGACTCTTTAAATTTTAAAAAGTTCTCTCCACGCCTGATACAGATGCAAATTGCTTGCTCATTACATTCTATCAGCCTTTTAAAATAAGTTTACTAAAGCAGAAGCATTCTCTGGCAGTAAGACAGCTTACCTGCCAAGCTTGACATTTCTATAACCAAATCAATATTTCAATAGCCTCCAACTATAAATCTGATGTTGATTTGAATTCTAGAAAGTAATGAATGATCCAATTAGAAAACAAAAAAAAAATAATTAGAGTGTTTATTCTTCCCTGTTGATAAGGAGTCTTTGACAAGACAGAATACTGTTTCCAGCAAGCCTCTTTCTTTAGGTATAATTGATCTTGGAAGTTAAAGTTTTGTTTGCATTTTTAGCATTGGGAGTTAAACACATTGCTTTGATAAAGCTGTTAAGTGGCAGCTTACCTACCCACAGTTTATTACTGCTTTGTGTCTGAAATATGCAAAAATGTTGTGCTAGGTAAGATATATTTACAAGTGAGCATGGACATGATAACATATTACACAGCACAGTCTCTATCCTGTAGTGGGACCCAGTAACTGTCTGTTGAGTGAATAATAAATGCTGTGACACTTCTTTCTGTAAGTTTTTTCCTTTGGGGAGTCAAGAATTTGATAAACATTTAGACCCCTCCGAATGCTCTATTCTATTGAAAATTTATCCATTCAATTCCAACCATCCCTACATCCATCATCCATCCATTCATTCATTCTTTTATTTATTCACTCAGTCAATGTTTATTGTAACTAATATGAACAAAACTATGGAACCTAGGGTCCAGCCCCGTGGCCTAGTGGTGAAGTTCAGTGCACTCCACTTCAGTGGCCTGGGTTCGTGGGTTCAGATCCTGGGCAAGGACCTATCACTCATCAACCATGCTGTGGCAGCGATGCACATACAAAATAGAGGAAGACTGGTACAGATGTTAGCTCAGGGCTAATCTTCCTCAAGCAAAAAAGGAGGAAGATTGGCAACAGATGTTAGCTCAGGGCGAATCTTCCTCACCAAAAAACCCACAAATCTGTGGAACACATAAAGATGGGACAGAAACTGACCATGATTCTAAAGGGCTTAATCCACTAAGGAGAACTAGATAAACATATATATATATATATATTTTTTTTAAATACTAAGGATAAAGTGATAAATATTCAAGAGAGGTACACAATGCCGTGTACATTCATCCCTTCCTACTGGACAAACCAGCAATTCCTAGGGAAGAGCTGAGTCCATATGGTTCAGTAATATTTTATCATGCTGAGAAAGTAATGCTCTGATTCACAGGTATGGGGAAAGCATGAGACAGGAATGGATCTTGAGTGTAGAAGCCACAATTTTGATGTCCTATCTTGCCTGGGTCACTAGAAGAATGAAATGATATTATTCTTAGAGGCCATGAATGCTAGGTTAAAGATTGTTATTCCACAGGCAGTGGGGTTTTGAGTAGGGGTTCAGAACTTTACACTTTGAAAGTCTGCTCAAGGAGCAATGTGTTGTGATCAACTGGAGATGGAGGGTGTTGAAACTAGAAGAACAGTGGAGACTCTTGGAAAAACCAAGGTCAAAGTGTTGAAAGGTCTGTACTGGGGAAGTTGCAGTGAATGCATGACAAAGGTAGATGAGGGAAATAAATTTTGAGATAGAATTCGTATGACTTTCACTTACTCAACAAACACATTTGATTTTCAACATAATTCTCAGGACTATACAAGGTACTATGGACATTTATATAAGTAAAGGACATCATAATCATATGATATATATGATATAGCTTAGTAGGATTTTCATGGGCTCAAAATTTGTATCTTTCGTTTATCTACAGGCTAGCAAGATAAATAACTGCATGGATTAAAGGAGATGATAACATCAAAGATATGTCTGAGGTTTCAAATCTGGGTGAGGAAGGTGATTTGAAACAGCCCAGTGGTCGAGAGCACAGGCTTTGAGGCAGAACCACCCGGGCTGAAGTCTCAGCTCTCTCTCTCATGAGCTGCTCAACGTGGAGCAGCTCAACTTTGACCTTCCTTAAGTTTCTGTTTCCATTTCTGAGCATCAAGAACCATAATGTATCCTTCACTGTTTGAGTCAGAATTCAGTGAGACAATGTATATAAAGTGCTTACAATAGAGGCTGGTGAATGAGTAATGATGATTATAATTGGTTTTAAAAAGTAAAATTAGTGGTAGAATATGGAGAGCAGATTACGAGTTCAGCTTGATCCATATCCAGTCAAGATTTAGAAATGTGGATCCAAAGCAGAGCAAAGGTTATGAACTGGGACTGCTGTGTCCCGAGATGCTAGCTGAACAGTAACATGGATGACAGAGCCTTCCAAGGGGGCACATGCGAAGGGGGGAGCCATGGACAGACCCTTGAGAAATAACTGAAGATAACAGGTAGGAGGAAGAGCCAGGAAATCAACTAAGGAACTGGTAAAAACAAAAGCCATATTTGTTCATTTTCCTGTTCAAATTAAAATCATTTGCTCTGTTTAAGAAGAAAATACAAATTCGAATTTCAGGAACTTCATATTTGATTTGACTTCATCATAACTCAAATTGTCTTTCTTAAGAAACTTACTTGATATGAGCACTTCATATTTTCCAAAGCTTAGGAATTTCTACTCAATAATGGCTGTTTTGGGGCAGCACCCTGTGACTAACTCCTCACTGGAGCTCTGTTAGAGACCCTAATTGTTAACTTTACCAACTTAGAATGCAACAAAATGCCTCTCACAAAGAGTTCAAGATTGCGATGTATGACACCTGCCTTTACCACACTGCTTTTTGATTAATTAAATACTTTATTTATTTGAAGATTCAATTGCTGTTGAAATGTTTTCTTAGATGTAAGTGATTAATAAGACTCTTACCACACTGCTTTTTTATTTGGGAAAATTTGGATCTATAAACAATTACTAGTAAAGATGTGGCCAGGTATGATTAGTAAAGAGAAGCATCTGAATGATGTAATAGTTTATTTGTTTGCCCACCATTATAGGTGAATTGGTGTTTGAGAGAAATCTCAGTCTGACAATTTGGGGCCCTAAGTGGCATCAGAAACAACGTATTCAAACCCTCAAAATGAAGTTCTCAGTACACGAGTTCCAGAAAGCAAGCCCGGCTTAATTAAACCTCTCACTATTGTAACCAAAACATGTATTTTAAGAACTCAATCTGCTCAAATCATAGAGTTACAATTAATTTCAATTTTTATACTAAAATTGTGTGTACCTTTTTCTTTCCAAACAGGAATTCTAGAATCTACGGTGTTTAGATTAATAAAGATAGCAGCTATCTACTTTAGGAGTTTATTAAAGATAGGAACTGCATAAATAACCACACCCAATTTCCTCTCTTTCTCAAATACAGTCACTAATGAAAAACAACAAAACAGGGGACATAAAGAAAATTAGTAAAAACTGGGGACATACAGAAAATTAGTAAGATGACAGAGCAGCAGGCACAATGGTTTAAGTTTTTTCCCTATGTAGCTGCAGTGTAGCATTATTTATGTTAGGGATATATTTTTCTTGAGTTAGAGCTTCCAGGTTAAATAATTTTAAGGAAACAATAACACGAGTTTTAAATAAGTGCTCGATACGAGAAATGTGATATATGGCTAAAAGATGGGACTTCATCCTCAGTGAGTCTCTTGTTGTTTTTAAAGAGACTTAAAGACATCTGGTAGTAAAAACAGCTGCATTATCTCTAAATTTTTGCAGCATCATTTTGTGTTAAATATTACTATTCTTTCTACACAGTGATATGAAATGGGAGCTAAAATAAAGTAGCTAGCCCAAAAGGGTCTTCAATGGAAAGATGAGGCAAATAAAAATTTTTCTTAAGGAATTAAGCATACTTTGAATTGTTGAAGCAAGTTGACCTCTCTTCATGGTCAACTTAAAGTTAATTCATTTAAAGTGATCCTTCTAGAGAAGAATGATTTTAAAAGAATACCACTGAACAGATAACACACTAATTCAGGTATCGATTATTATTACAGGTGTTGAAAATCCAGAGGATTGACTTTATTTCTGTTTCCTTCACTGTTTAACAGGAGAATGAAATGACCATTGGTTAAAACGATACCTTAAAATCATCCATGGATATTGTTCCTTTCTCAACACCAGAGCTCCCTGCTTATGAATTGAGTTAACAGAACATTTATTTCACATGATACTGTCCCAGAGACCTGGTCCTGAAAACTGTGGGACTGGCTAAAAAAGTGAATGGATGTTGAACTGAATTAAGTTAGTAATTTGGTCATTTTTGTGATATTTGGAAGCATATGGATTTGGGTTCAAATTCTAGTCCTTTACCTTCTTAGTAGATTTTTGATCCTTGAACTGCAGTAGATCTTATGGGGACTTGTGGGGATTAAATGAGGTGACATCTGTGGCACTCAACACAGTGTATGATACCCAACTTAGTGTACACAAGGGCGCTCACTTGATTTTTATAATCTCTCTCTCTCTTTGTGTTGGATTCTGCTTTGTGGAGTGACAACAAGAGACAATTGTACTTGGTTTAATTTCTACAAAAACATTCATGCATGAACGAAAAAGTCTATTATTGACTCAGTGTCATCATAATAGGACCATGAAGTAGATTTTCTATGATTAAAAACACTGGTTTTAAAACTATGGAAAGTCATAAATGAGTCATGGCAACCTTTTGACAAAAGCACAGATTATGCAGAAATGTATGATTCATCTGTGTTTTCCTTAAACTTTTACCTGGGTGAGAGAGGAGGTAGTATTGATTTGTACATCTCCTTCTAGGATTATTAGAGTTTATGCTTTAACTATGAAATTTAATTCAAAATAGAGAATGATCTCTGACACAAAATCCTCTGCTTTAAATTGAAGGGGAAACCTGTTACAGTTTCCCTATTTGACACAATTTCTATAAAAAGAATGGATTTTATGACCTGAAAAAAGTTCAATAAAGAATAATAAAAATTACCTACAATAATAAAAGCTACAGCTCATTTGACAAAGAGTATGTATATACAGGATACTTAGAAAAAATGCTCCTCTCATTCCCAAGTCCTCTCCCTTTAATACATATAGAAGAAAATGAGTTCCATTTAAGATGAATATTTGCCAGTTTTTCTTAAAAATTAGAAAAATGGGGAAAATTTTGGTTGTTACTAGTTTTTTTTCCCTCTATTTTATGAAATGCTACAATGAATAAACTGGTTTATGCATCACCTCTCACTTGTGTGAATAGATTTATAGGATAAATGCCTAGAAATATGATTGCTGAGTCACTGGATAGAAAATTTAAATATTAAAAGACAAAACAAATTTCCCTTAAAAGTGGCACTAATTTATGTTGCCACCAAAGGCATATGTGCGTAAACATTTCACCACATCTTACCAGCACTAGATACTATCAACCATTTTAATCTTTGCCAACCAGATAAGTGAAAATGGCTTTTTGTTGCTTTAATTTGTCTTTCTTTAATGATGAGGTAGGTTTAACCCTTTCTCATATGATTATTAACCATTTGTGCATCTTTTTTCCTGAATTTTACACGCCCAAGAAATTTGGCATTGTTTGTGATCTGATTTCATTCTCCTAATGATCCTATGATAGAGGTACTATTATATGCACATTTTACAAAAAATAAATCTGGGACTAATCGATATTTAGTATCATGCCCAGTAGGACCAGACTGATAAATGGCAAATGTGAAGTTTGTACAGGAGCTTGCCTAACACCAAGTTAATTGTCTAAACCACACAGCCATATTGAGTTCATCTCCTGCCTACAGAGAGAATCATGAGGCTTTTGCATTTTTATTTATTCTGTACTATTTCAATCATCCCAACATTTAGTCAGAATGTATAAGCGCCTTTTATTTCTATTTTTTTATTTATTTTTATTTATTTATTTTTAATTGTTTGTTTATTGCAGTAACATTGGTTTATAACATTGTATAAATTTCAGGTGTACATCATTATACTTCTATTTCTGCATAGATTACATCATGTTCACCACCCAAATACTAATTACAACCCATTACCACACACTTGTGCCAAATTATCCTTTTTGCCCTCCTCCATCCCCCTTTCCCCTCTGGTAACCACCAATCCAATCTCTGTCTCTATGTGTTTGTTTGTTGTTGGTATTATCTACTACTTAATGAGGGAAATCACCTTTCATGTGCCTGGCACTGTGACAGTTTCTCTATCTACAGCAATAAACAATTCATAATTAATAAATAAGTACATTAATGAATATACATTTCCCTTCAGTGTATAATTCAAAACAATCTTACAATTTAATTACAAATGTGACAAGTACAGCAAAGGAGAATTACAGGATACTGTATATATGAATAATAGGCAGCTGACTGGCATCATATAGAAGGAGCTTTGCATAAACATAATCAGGGTGCATAATTTGTCGAAAATACTTTGGGAGATAAAAGACAGATAAATGCTACAATGAAAATGTCTTAAGAATTTCATTTATCCTTACAAAAATACCTTTATCTAAATTTTTTAACTTGGTTTTGAAAAAATCTCAAAAAATGTGCAAAAGTATCAACCATTTAAAAATTTTTTTTTTCTGAACGTTGACTTCTCTAACTAGCAGTAAAGAGTGTGTAGGAGAACTGAAATTTGCACAAAATGGAGAGAGGTGAACATGTATGTTTTGGGATACGAGCAAAGATGATAGATGAAAATGTTATAAGAAATATAATACTTGGATGGACAAGGAAAAATCCACCTTTTTACTCACCCCTCCTTTTAATTAATAACCTACATATTTCAGAGAAATATTTTTCAGAGAAATTAAATGGCTCAGTAGTATGGTGCTTAACTGATTGAGTTAACCAAACCAGAAAATAGAACGCTAATCAGCTGTAGAATTCTGAACAGTTCTGCATATATTGAATATAGTTTGATTAACCATAAAATAGAGGAAATGTTTTAAGATTATAGAACACCAGCAGAAAGAAATTTGTGATATTTTAGTTGAACCACATGAACTTTTCAATATTTGACCATTTTAACTTACAAAAAGTGCAATTTTATGTAGTTAAGTATGTACAACAAACCTAAGTGCTTTTCTTATGTATTTACTCACAGATAGATGGATGAACATGTCTATAGATGATATAAAACTTCTCATATACCTAACTCTGTCATTCACACGTGTGAAGAGAGTAAAAGATTTAAGGAAAAAAAAAGATGCAGAAAAGAGATAAAAATGCAAATACTTTAGAAGCTCTTGTAATTGGACATTAAAAACTCAAGTCATGAAATGCATACATTTCCCTTCCATATAGCTTCTCCTGCAACTAGTTCAGATGGAGGAAATATAAATGAACCAAAGAGACAAGCAAATAATTGTTGTTTGAAATGTAGCATCCTGTAGTTCTTAATTTTTTTCATGATTAAATTTTGGGTTATTTCCCTCAAAAGTAGTGCATTAAAAAAAGAAACACAAAAAAATAAAATAAAAAATATTCATAACATTACTGGATCTATATTATTAAATACATGCATATATATGTTTCTATATGTAAAACATATATATAACATATGAATGTATATGAATGTATACCCAGATTTCTAAATTTTAGTCTTAAAAGAGCTACATGGCTTAGACTGTCATTAACTTAGTTGCCTCCTTTTCCTTTTATGGTACTGGAGATTGCTTAGAATACTCCCTGGTAATGGAAACTAAAGAATAATTGAATAATGTTATTTATTTATAACTTGTTTTTATTGGAGTAGGGGTAGAAAGTTGTTGAAGTCCATCAACCAGAGAATGTTCCAAAGAAAAATGTTGCTTCTACAAGATTAGATACAGTAGAAACTTTTAAACCATGAGAACATAGATCTCCATAAAGTGTAATTTACAGGCTTTTCAGAACTGCCTAATATGAACCAGCTATTGAGCCCTCACTGTATACCAAGGGCTATTCTAGGTGCTAGGGAAGGAGACAAAGTCTTTGCTTTAATAAAGCTTAATTAGTTTCCAATGTCTCTCCTCACTTTAGAAAAGTCACAAAGAGATCTTCTATTTCCTGTTTTGGTGTATTCCAATGTACCATGGCTGCTCCACCATACAAATAAGGTAAGTAGATATTCATAAAGATTTACTGAGGCTTATGCCATAGTCAAGGCATGAAAGACCAGACATAAAGTGAAATATAGACATAAATAATAAATAATAAAGGATAAAGTCAGAAAAAATATCTGTTGCAAGTTTTAAGGTTACTGAGATTCTGACACTTTAAAAATGTATCAAATTTAATTGTTTCAAATTTGTTCTCAATACCGTATTTAAACATACTAATTTTCCAGTAAATGAATGTTTCAATTTTTAAAAATCTCCAGATAGTTAATTTATTATGCAATTAATTAATTATAATTATATCATTACAAAATTAATTTATTATAAAACTCATTTGCCTGGACTGCTCAGATTAAACTTTTTTTAAGTGTCAATGACTGAACTAATGGCTACTATGAAATCTTTCCAGAGAATTCCCAGTGAATAGACAAAATGTCTAAGGGTGGAGTAAGAGTGGTGGTATGAGAGAGTATTTTTTCACCAGGGCACATGACAGAAGCTTAATAAAAATTTATTCACCAATATTCCATTCTGGCTCACCATACCTTTGAGGCACACGATCCAAATCTAAGAGAAGTTTTAGAAATATCACAAATGCAAGCAAAATACATGTAAAAAGAAATTTTACCTCTTGATAGACTTTTTACTCCACGAGTAAACACTTTTGATATTTGACTACAGTTATGAAGTACGCATTTATGGATATTCATAAGAAAGCCGCTTTACTTTGGAAGAAGGACAGGTGACATGGAAGAAAGAAGTACTTAGGATTTAGTTAGATCTCAACATTAATTTTGGTTCTGCCACTCACTGACTCTTACCTTTAGGTAAGATACTAAACTTTACAAGTATACCAAAACTCTCTGAGCCTTAAGTCCCTCATCTGTTGAATGGGAATATTACCCACCTTACCAGGTTGTTCTGAGAATTAAATCAGACAAAGTGTGTTAAGTGTTTAGCAATGAATAAACTTTTCACGTGATTACTTCTTGAGTTTCTTTTTTCCTCTCATAAAGTATATTTTGTTTAATTATCTTCCTAAAGACTTTTTTAAAGTTTCTAGGGAGCAGATTTAGTCTATGTTTCTCAATGTAAGAATTGGCTTCTTAGAAATATTTGTATTTCAAAAGTTATCTTAACAATCCCCGGACACATTTTTTTCCTCCTCGGATATGAACATCTCAGACAAAATCCTACCCTAGTCCATGGCAGTCCAGATCTTCAGACCCTCTTTTTGAAGTGTTTGCTTGCTTACTGTATAATACAAGAAATTCTTAATGAAATGTAGCTCAGAGAAGTTGAAGGGCAACTTTTAATAAGTGCCAACCTCTTCTTTTAAGGTCATTTTTTCAAAGTGACAAAAGATATTAAGATTTCTTAGGGGCTGGCCCTGTGCCATAGTGGTTGTGTTTGGTGCGTTCTGCTTTGGCGGCCCAGGTTTGAGGGTTCAGATTCCAGGCTCAGACCTACACCACTTGTCAGCCATGCTGTGGTGTGATCCACGTATGAAATTGAGGAAGACTGGCACGGATGTTAGCTCAGGGCTAACCTTCCTCAAGCAAAAAAAAGAGGAAGATTGGCAACAGATGTTAGCTCAGGGTGAATCCTCTGCACCAAAAAAAAACAAGAAAGAAAAGATCTCTTACTAAATGACTCTTCGTGACTCATTTACAAGGAACTATATAATTGAAAGAGTCATAGTAGTATTGAATAAGGCTGAATCTTTTATTTTCCCATTCATCACTTACAACGCCATGTTGTCCTTATTTCAACAGTGCTTACTACATTACTATAAAATCATAAGTTATAAAAGGAGAGAAATGAACATAAAGTCAATGACTGCACAGGGGTGATATTCAGAGCTAAAATGAGATAAAGCTCAGAAAATAGAGGTTCTAATTCTATCTCTGCTACAAACCATTTTGTGTTTTTTGGTTTGGAAAAGGGATTCAGAAACTCCTCTAGCGTGCTATCCAAAGTATATTTTTGACTAATTCCAGCAAATTAAGAGAAGAAAGTTATTTCCTTTATAGAAAGAAAACAGACATGACCGATTACCACAAGCAGTTTATGAAAGATTTAAGAATTAAATGAGTCTCCTTTTCTCCTCGCCCAGTTTTCTTTCTAGAAAACCAAGCTGCCTTCCTGGAAATAACTGTACATACACGGAACTAATTATATTCACCTTCACAGTATTTGTGAAAGACAGAGTCTAATTTCATGCATTATTTTTATTTTACAGATTGAGGGAGAGTGAGGAGCAAGAAAGAGTACCCAGAGTTAAATGATCATCCACTGGTAGGGGTACAATCAGAACCACCTTGTTTACGACCTCCCAACATGGAGTTGCTGAGCAGAGAAATCATCAGTAATAAAGTCAAAATTTATCTGTGTTTTCTGAAAACAATCAAATGTAACAATTAAAATAGTTTTGTCCCTTTCTGGGTAGACCACTGGACTTTCTGTGTGTCCATTTAACTTTCTGGGATTTAGTTCCAACATCTAAAAATAAAGAAATTGGTTAAATAACCTGTGAGTTTCCTTCCATCTCTAAGTCTTTATAATTTAACCTACAATTATGAAAACTATAATTATGAATATTATAATTAAAATTTTATTATGAATATAATTATATCATTAATTCCTTGAGCAATGGCAGTTAATCTACATTAAAATTAAAAATTATGTCATTTTCTATATTTATATTATGCAATACTTCAAACAAAAATATTATTAGAAAATAATATTTTTTAAAAGTCTATGAATCCACTAACCACCTTTAAAATGCTTAACAACTGCCCTATTTTATTCATAATTTAAGAAATACATTACAAATACAGTTGAAAACCATGGCTAACATCACTGAAGCCTACCCAGAGGTTAGGTTTTTACCCACATTTCTCAGAACGTGTCCCTATTGTTAAATGACACACGACTGTGTAAACTTATTATAAGCAAAATGAGTGAGAGCAATGCTACAAGAGATGAGGGGGAAGAATTAGGAATACTTTGTTATTGTAAGTTGTTATTGGCATTTCCACTACCTATGAAGAGGTATAGTGTTATTTGAAAGTGGACTTGGATGAGTTGTAAGTGTATATTGGAAAACCTACGGCAATCACTAAAAAAAGCTGTTTAAAAAAGTGTAATTGATATGCTAAGAAATGGGAGGAAAATGGAATCATATAAAATGCTCAATTAAAACCACAAAAGGGGGCCGGCCCGGTGGCTTAATGGTTAAGTGCGCGTGCTCCGCTACTGGCGGCCCGGGGTTCGGATCCCAGGCGCGCACCGAGGCACCGCTTCTCTGGCCATGCTGAGGCCGTGTCCCACATACAGCAACTAGAAGGATGTGCAACTATGAAGTACAACTATCTACTGGGGCTTTGGGGGGAAAAAAAGAAAAGGAGGAGGATTGGCAATAGATGTTAGCTCAGAGCTGGTCTTCCTCAGCAAAAAGAGGAGGATTAGCACGGATGTTAGCTCAGGGCTGATCTTCCTCACACAAAAAAAAAAACAAAACACAAAAGGCAGAAAACATGTGAAAGGCAAAAATAGGAACAAAGAATAAGGACAAGAAATAGAAATATAGATATTAATCCAACTATATCAATAATCACTTTAAATGCCAATAGTCTAAATATACCAATTATAAGAAGGAAATTGTCAGAATGGATCAAAAAGCAAGACCCAAATATATGTTTTCTACAAAAAACTCACTTTAAATATAAAGTTACCTATAGATTAAAAGTTAAGGGATGGAGAAACATGTCCCATAGTAACATTAACAGAAAGCAAGAGTGGCTATATTAATTTCAGACAGAGAAGATTCAGAGCAAGGAAAGCTATAAGCTATAAAGTGGGGCATTATATAATTATCATTATATTAATGATAAAGTTGTCAATTCTCCAAGAAGACATAACAATCCTCAATGCACTTAAGAACAGAGACTCAAAATACATGAGACAAAAACTGATAGAAGTGCAATGAGAAATAGATTAATCCACTATTACAGTTGGACACTTCAGTACGCTTTTCAGAAATAGACAGATCCAGCAGGCAGAAAATCAGGAAGAATATAGTTGAACTCAACAGCCCTATCAATCAACTGGATATAATGGACATCTGTAGGCTACTTCATCCAACAACAGCAAATTACACACTATTCTCAAGCTCACATGAATCATTCACCAAGATAGACCACATTCTGGGCCATAAAACACACCTTAACAACTTTAAAGGAATAGAAATCATACAATGTCAGCTCTCAGACCACAATGGAATTAAACTAGAAATTGAACTGGAATCATGTGTGGTTAGTGCTGGGCCTGAAGTCTATATAGAGTGGAAAAAGACTCAGAACAGCCAACTCAGTATGAAAAGGAGAAGGACAAAGTGGGAGAACTGATACTACCTGACTTCAAGGTTTATTATGAGGCTACAGTAATCAAGACAGTGTGGTATTGGTTAAAGAATAGACAGATTACCGGCACAGAATAGAGACCCCAGAAATAGACCCACACAAATACAGTCAATTGATCTTTGACAAAGGAACAAAGGGAATATAATGAAGCAATGATAGTTTTTTCAACAAATGGTGCTGGAATAACTGTACATCCACATTCAGAAAAATGAATCAAAACACAGACATTACACCCCTCACAAAAGTTAACTTAGAATAGATCATAGCCCTAAATGTAAAACACAAAACTATAAAACTCCTAGAAGATAACATAGGAGAAAACCTTGATGACCTTGGGTATGGTGATGGCTTTCTAGATACAACCAAAGACATGATCCATGAAATAAATAAGTGATAAGCTGAACTTAATTAAAATTAGAAACTTCTGCTCTGCAACAGACAATGTCAAGAGAATGAGAAGATGAGCCACAGACTGGGAGAAACTACTTGTAAAAGATACATCTGATAAAGGACTGTTATTCAAAATATACAAAGAACTCTTAACAATAAGAAAATGAACAGCCTGATTTAAAAAATGGGCAAAAGATATGAACAGTTACCAGAAGATATAGAGATGGCAAGTTAGTATATGAAAAGATGTTCAACATCACATATTACCTCATTTTAAACCTATGACCCATCACACATGCTAGTCTTAAATAATTTATTCCTCCTCTCAGCTCATTCAGCACTGTGTACTTCTCAGGCCATGTCTCATTTTATAGTGTGTGTGCATTACAACCTGTCCCCTCTGACATGGTAAGCATTTTGGGGGGCATAATGGCCATGTCATCTTCTTCTGTGAGGTTCATAGAATGTCTGAACAATGATTGAACCCAATAAGTGCTTTGGGCTTCTTGATTTTAGTAAAAATAATATCAAGTGCCTATAATGATGCTGGGCATATAGTAGGTACTCAGTAAATGTCAATTTCCATCCCTCCTAGTGTGTCACAAGTAATCAGAGAAGGTGTCTGAATTGATTGTGGGCAATAATTCTCAAGGGTCCAATGAGTTTTATTATTGGTTATTATTATCATTGGTACTTTTCCAAAGCACCAATGCTGATTTCATTTATTTCATTAAAATCTGATCGATAATTGTAATAGATAACCTAGAGGGGAGTATCTCACAAAGTATAACTCTTTTTATGTATTTCATTTCAAAACAAATGCACTTTTGTGTTCATTGTTAATGTTATATATTTTGCTATATTTTATTTCTGAAACAAGTATTTTAATATAATTTTGTTTTTCTTTATTTGGATAGAAAACCTGAAAAATTTGAAAACCCTAACATTACCAAACTATGTTTTGTGAAAGATTTCATGAAGTTGTCAATGTGTATTCCCTCCAAAAAGAGATATGATTTGGGACGTGTTAGTTTAAGAAAGTTTTTAATATACCTATGTGCATTACGAAGCCCCAAGAAGGAGATGTGATATTCGATTGCTTCCAATAATACATAGCGATGAAACCATTTGTTGCTGTTCAGATTTTTTTTGAATACCTGTTAATATTTCTCATCATTAGGAAAACATTTTGGAAAGAATGTTGTAAGGTGATGAATTTTCATCAACATACAATGCAATGTACTTCAATACAAAGGAAGAATTTGAAGAGTTCATCTTGCCACAACCAGTTTCAATGGAATGTAAGGAACATGAACAGATTGGAGAATGCTCACTAAAAAAGCATTTTATCATTGTCTGGCTGCTTTGGGTAAAAATATGAACCACTTTCAGAAAGGATCTTTCATTTAAATCAGATATAGCTTTCTAAGTGAATGGCATTTGAACACCACACATGTATTTGTTCAAATGAGATTACAATGTTTTAAAATGTTGAGAGTGTATGTTCTCTGAAATGGATGTAGGGACCAGAGAAGAAAGAAATACTGAAAAAATTTTAAATAGAAACATGGTCACACTGACAAAAGGAGATCCCTGGCTCTGAGAAGAATGCTCATTCCATTGGGTTCCATTTAGTCTGAGTGATGATTTCAATGCTGCCATCTAAACTGACACTGAGATGAACAATAAAAATGAGTTTTAGTACCTTAACACGGGAAATAGGATTTTTCTCATTCATCTCTTTAAATAAAATAATCTAAAACAATGAGAAATAGTCATCATTTCTTCTGTCCCTTGAATCTAGTTGAGGAATGATTCCATTAGTCACACCGGGTAAAACAATAAATGAATATCTCCTCGGAGGTTTTACTGCATAATTTACAAAAGTAGGCAGTAATTTATTATCTCCTGGAGATTACCGTCATGAACTCAGAGGAATTCATCCACTTTATCTCTATGCAATACATGTGGCAATTATGGCATTTTTTATTACTAAATAAAATATTTTCATTAAATCCTTGTGCCACAATCTTATGGGATTTTAAAATGATCTTTTCTGATCTTCAACTGAGTAAACTATGGTCTCTCGTTTCATCAGTTCTAACTTTTTATTATTGCTGGTGTTCTTAAGTTTCTTAAAGTAGAATTTTAAGACCCAAACATCTAAGTTTTTCACTCCTGATTAACATTCTATTTAGAAAGTTAGAATTTGTTTTAGAAAAGATTTTTCTAAACTATTTTGTATTTGTCAAAAGAAATATGGAGAGAGAGTGAGCAAGCAGGGATGGAGGGAGAGAAGATGGGAGAGGAGAGAGAGAGAGAGAGAGAGTGAGAGACATGCCCTATACTCTACCAATATCTTCTTCTAGGAAAGACATGAGTAGTATGACGGCTCATCCCAGGAAGCTGCCTGGTAAATATTCAGAAACCCTGCGAGCCAGTT